GAGCCTAGGGGTGCTGAGCCTGGGGGTGCTGAGCCTAGGGGTGCTACGTCTGGGGGTGCTGAGCCTAGGGGTGCTACGCCCGGGGGTGCTGAGCCTGGAGGTGCTCCGCCTGGAGGTTCTCCGAGTGCTTCGTCTCGCCGGGAGCCACTTTCTCCACAGGAGCTGCGTGAGTGGTTTGCCCGGCGCTGGAGGCGTGCTGCTGGTGCTGGAGGTCCTTCGGCTGCTGAGGGTGCTGCGGTCGCGGGTCCCGGAGGTGCTCGTCCTGGGTGCACTGGAGCTGGTGCTGCTGAGGGTGTTGGCGCTGAGACTACCGCTGGCAGTCCTGCTGGGGGTGCTCCTGGTGCTGCTGGAGGTTCTGGAGCTCCTGGTGGTGCTGCTGGAGCGGGTGCTCCTGCTGAGGGTTCTGGTGCTGTCCCTGCTGCTTCTAGCGTCGCCGCGCGGCCTCGACCGTACTTCGTTCCACTCCTGCAGCAGGTTCTTGGTCTTCCACCTTCTACTGGTCCTCCTCCTCCCTTAGAGTGTCCACAGCCTGTCTCGTCCCAGCTACAGTTGCAGCCTACCTCCCCTTTGCCTGCTCCTTCTCCCTACACTGGTCCTACTGGAGGTCTGGCTGAGCGTCGTGAGCCTGCGTCTCGCCCTGCGTCGCCTGTCCGTGCTGCTCGCACTAGTGGTCGCGGTTCGCGTCAGCGTCCTCCTCCTGTCCCTGGCACGCACCGGATGTCTCTGCGTCCGTCCACTGCTCCTCTGCGTGCCCCTTTGCCTTCTCCTCCTGCGTCCTCTCTTCCTGCTCTTGCCGACCCGGAGTCGGACTCTCTTCGTGCTGCCAGTCCTACTGTCACGCGTCTCCTTGCTACTGTTGTCACTGACCCTTCTTTCGAGTCTACTGCTGCGTCTGCTCTCGTTACTGAGCTCGTCGACTTTGCTGCCCGCTGTCGCTTAGACTACGCTGCTAGTCTTGTCGCTGAGTCTGAGTCTGTCTGTCCTCCGTCCGTCGGGGGTGAGTGTGCCCTTGGCACGGACGTCCTTGAGGACAGGCAGGAGGAGTTCCAGTGTCTGGCAGCTGCCTCACCTCATCTCGTGTCCGTACTGCTTACCCCTGAGGGAGACCCGGATGCACTTGACATCCCGACTCGGCGCTCTTACGCGGAGGCGATAGAGGGTCCCTACTCCTCTCAGTGGCAGGCAGCTATGGATGCACAGATGGCTTCCTGGAAGTCCACAGGCACCTACGTTGACGCTGTCCCCCCTCCTGGGGCGAACATCGTCAGTGGCATGTGGATCTTCAGGGTGAAGCGGCCGCCGGGTTCTCCGCCTGTCTTCAAGGCGCGTTACGTGGCTCGTGGCTTCAGTCAGCGGCAGGGAGTTGACTACTTTCAGACCTTCTCCCCCACCCCGAAGATGACCACTCTTCGGGTACTGCTACACGTTGCTGCTCACCGTGACTACGAGCTGCACTCTCTTGACTTCAGCACAGCTTTCTTGCAGGGCAGCCTGCACGAGGAGATCTGGCTGCGTCGCCCACCTGGCTTCACTGGGTCTTTCCCTCCTGGTACCCAGTGGAGTCTCCGGCGTCCAGTCTACGGTCTCCGCCAGGCGCCACGTGAGTGGCACGACACACTGAGGACTACGCTTGCGGCTCTTGGGTTTGCTCCTTCTACTGCCGACCCGTCGCTGTTTCTACGCACCGACACCTCTCTGCCGCCGTTCTACATCCTCGTGTACGTCGATGACTTGGTCTTTGCCACAGCTGACACTGCTGGACTCGCCTACGTGAAGTCCGAGCTGCAGAAGAGACACACGTGCACAGACCTGGGTGAACTGCGCAGCTACCTTGGCTTGCAGATCACCCGGGACAGAGCACGCCGCACCATTACCCTGACTCAGTCACACATGGTGCAGCAGGTCCTTCAGCGCTTCGGCTTCACGTACTCCTCGCCTCAGGCCACTCCTCTGTCTACTCGCCACTCGCTCTCAGCTCTGCCTTCGGATGAGTCCGTAGAGTCGAGTGCTTGTTGGCTGCCTCATGTACCTGATGACCTGCACACGACCTGACCTTGCATACCCTCTTAGCATTCTTGCACGCTATGTTGCTCCTGGGAGACACAGACCAGAGCACATGGCTGCAGCGAAGTGGGTGTTGCGCTACTTGTGCAGTACGTCGGGCATGGGGCTAGTGCTTGGAGGGCGGAGTCCAGTGGTCCTCACTGGGCACGCGGACGCTTCTTGGGCTGACGACCAGGCTACGTAGCGGTCGTCACAGGGTTACACCTTCAGCCTTGGTTCCGGCTCTGTTTCGTGGCGGGCTACTCGCTCGTCTTCTGTTCTTGGCTCGAGTTGTGAGGCTGAGATCTACGCCGGGGCCATGGCTGCACAGGAGCTTCGCTGGCTCACCTACCTGCTGACCGACCTTGGAGAGCCGCCTCGTTCTCCTCCAGTCCTGTACGTAGACAACAAGGCCATGCTGGCCTTGTGTCGAGAGCAGCGACTGGAGCACAGAACAAAGCACATTGCTCTCCGCTACTTCCTTGCTCGTGAGCTACAGCAACGTGGACAGTTGCGGCTTGCGTACGTGGCCTCTGAGGCCAACACTGCTGATGTCTTCACCAAGGCACTTCCGCCTTGTGATCATCAGCGCTTCTGCACTCAGCTGGGTCTTGTGCCCGTCTTGCCTCACTTGCTCTCCTCTTGACCTTGCTTGTACTCTCACATTTATATATACCTGCTCTTGCTTGTCTAGCTTTATATATATGTGTGTACTCTTGCATGTGAACTGGCCGTGTGGCCTTGACCCTGTGCTCGGACTGTGTGGTGACTTTGTGATCCACCCTGAGCTTGCTTTGCTTTGCTTTGCTTGACTGGTCTTGTGACCCCTTGTTCTCCCCCACTTTGCCTATGGGGGTGTGTCAGAACATTGTAGCTTATGCTGTTGTGTAGGCTATAGTGGGGTATCCCATAGGGGGTACAACCAATTAGGGTTTCATATTTGTACTCACATCATTCCATAGTTCATCCATTCTCGTTCTCATTCTCACAGATAATTGCTAAACGATTGTTCTGGTTCTTATTTTCTTTAGCTGGCGTTATCGCATGTGTAACGCCTTTGACCAGGGCCTCAGATTCATTTTGGCCTAGGCTGAAACGTCGGCCTTAGGAGTTAGCTGAAGGCTGATCAATCAGGGCATCCTTGAAAAAAAAAGCTGAAATTTCAGTGTTTAGTTTTTTAAAATGGCTGAACATCAGGGCCTATTTTTGGTTTTGGGGCACTCTTGGGAAAAAGGGTGCGTTGATGACGTCACCCTGCCTGTTAGGGTAATTTTTCTTCCACCCTGTCAAAATCAGGGTAAATTTTTTATTACCCTGATTTGTAACGGAAATGGGGAAATTGGGGCTGGGAGTGGTGAGGGAATTGTGGGGAGGGGCTGGGAGATGCGAGGGAAACGGGGGGAGTTGAGCGGGGAGTGGCGAGGGCTATGAGATAAATGGGGCTCGGCGGTTGGGAGAAGTCCGGGAAATGGGGAGAATCGTGCCGAAGGTGCTAGGAAATTGGGTAGAGTGGGGCTGGGAGAGGCGAATGTACTCTGACACGTAAGGGTACAAATCAGCGCACACTGATTTTGACAGGGTAGAAAAAACTCTACACTTTTGGAAAAAGGGTACAAAATAGCGTACCCTTTCAAAATCAGGGCAATCATAAAAAAATGGATTTTAGAAAGGGCAATCAAGGTATTTTACCCTTGAAAAAATGCCCCTGCTGAACATTCAGCCTTGCTTACAAAGAAAGGCTGAACATAACTTCGAGCTTTCCTATAGCACAACAGCCATTCAAAGTGTGGCATTGATAAAAGGGCACGCGACGTGCTGCCAACAGTGCACACGACGTGCCTACACAGCTTCATTTCATACACGAAAATACAGTACCCTCTGTCGGGGACAACAGTGCACGCGAATTCGAGCGAATTTTATGTAATTGGGCTAAATTCTGGTAGAACATGTTGTGTCAGAGCGAATTTCTTGTGATTGGACGAAACTGTTGTGCTCTGACGGGGCGAATATCTGCTCTGTTGGGGAAAATTTGCTGTCTCAAAGCGAATTTGCTGAGTCAGGGCGAATCTGCAGTGACGAGTCAAGCTAAAACACTTGCATCCAGAAACCAGAGACAGTGGAACGGGCGAACCTAGACATCCGAAGTTCTCGGCACTACACGGATCTCCAAAACTGGGATTTCCAGCCCACACCCCCGTAACACCGCTGATCAGTCAGTGTACACCTCTAAAAAAACTCTGAAAAATCAGTCCATACAATGAAAAAAATGCTGAAAAATCAGCCCCTACAATCAATAAAAAGCTGACAAATCAGCCCCCACTTTCTTCCCAGCGCTGAAAACTCAGCCTTTTTACCCCTAAGCCTTTTTTCGCTGACTTCTGAGGCCCTGCCTTTGACCCTTTAATGTGTGTTGGTTTTTTGTTGTCTGGATATTTTAGCTGTGCAGTGATTTATATATTCTGGGGCAACTGTACAAGGCCATGTTTATTACGTAGTCATGCTGATGTTGTTATTTGACGTTCTGTTGTTATATAGTGAAATATATTTTATACATTTTCAACAAAAAATATTGATTACAAAAAAAGATCACACTGTAAAGGGGATATAATCAGGCCATGCGCTGGCCACGTGTGACCCGAAACTGACCCAAATCTGACTTTTCCCGCCAAATCCTAACCCGTACCTGACTTTTCCCGCCAAATCCTGACCCGTACCTGACCCGTACCTGACCCGTACCTGACCCGAAAGTCACTTTTGGGTAGCCTGTCTAACCTCAGACTAACCTAAAGTGTCAGTTCAAAAAGTAACTTTTGGGACAGATTTCCAGATGACCCGAATCTTGCCTGGAAGTCACCTGGGGGTCCCTTTTGGGTCAGTACAATTTAGAGATGTTCGATCGATGGTCACGCCTTGCCAGGACCCAGTACGTACAGCCATGGCAGCAGCAATGATACAAGTTACAGCCATAACTTCATGTCTCGCAGACAAACCTCCTGCTGCCTGCCGTCCTCCCTACAGCTCACCTGCAAGGCCACTATCTCCTTCCTATGCGCCTCCAGCCATGCCCTATCCCCCACCGCCCTCCACCCAGGCGGGAATAACTGTTCTGGCAGCACCCCCACGCTTGCCCCTCTTTTCCCCTCTCCTGCATCTCCCATACCTCCTCCCATACCTGCTTCCGTACCCTCTTCCTGACCTGCTTTCGAAACTTCTCCCACACCTGCTTCCGTACCTCCTTCCGAACCTCCACCGAGCCCATCCTCCTCGACTCCCATGAGCCTCGCTCCTCAAACCATCTCAGCCACAGCGTGATTCAGCGCCGTGCTAAGAATCTCCGAACCAGAAAACACGCCCGAACCACCCCTTGCCGCTGCCGCACCTGCCGTCACATACCCCCTTAAAGCCCCAACAGCCCAGTGGTGCACCATGGCTTGCACAGCAGAAGAGGGGCGAAGAGCCATGAGCCATGGAGAGAGGGACCCTAGAAGGGCTGGCGTGAGGGCGGTGGTGTTGGGGGGTGCAGGTGCCGCTGCCTGTTGCCTGCTCTCTGCTGCCCCTTGTGCTGGTGGTGCGTCTAGCTGCTGGTGCTGCTGCTGAGGTGGGACTTGGTGGGAGAGGGATGGCAGCATGAGGGAGTGGGATGGTGGGAAGTAGCGGCGGGGGTCACGCAGCCACACTAAGTTGATGTCACTGGGAGAAGAGGGGGGCGCATGGGGGAGGGGAGAGGAAAGTGTGGGGAACGGAAGGAGAAGAGTAGGGGCAAGCATCACATAGCCACACCGAGTTGATGTCGCTGGGAGGACATGGAGGGGAGGGCGCAGGGTGTGGGGGAGTGGGGCGAGGTGACGAAAGAGTGAAGAGAGGTATGGGAAAATAGAATGATGGTGGGAAGTAGGACAGCCAGAGGAAGTTGATGTTGCTGAGAGGAAAGGAGGATGCAGGGTTGGGGGGAGGAAGCGAGGGGAAGGAAGGGCGGTGAGAAAGAGAGGGGAGTAGATTGAGAGAAGGACGAGGGAAGGACATGTGGCAAGTGCAGGAGAATGAGGTAGAAATGAAAGGGGAATGATGAAAGAATAAGGGAAGAGTGAGGGAGAACTAGGAGAAAGTAGGGCAAAAACGAGGTTATAAACAATTTATGGTCAACATCACAGCACACTGACTACCATACAGTCTGTATGTACCTGCACTGGTCGGAACTGCTCCGTGCTCACTGCTCGCTGCACCTGCTTTGTGGTGATGTTTGAGTCGACTCAAAAGTCCCTTCATGCGCAACAGCACACGGATCACCACTAACTGTACAGTCTGATCGAGTCGATCACTCACCACTCATGGCACAGCACCACTCAACGAGGTCCAACAGTCTGAGCACCACTCAATGAGGTGGCCAAGAGCACATACTACAACAGCACATACTACAACTGCACATACTACAACAGCACATACTACAACTGCACATACTATAACAGCACATACTACAACAGCACATACTACAACAGCACATACTACAACAGCACATACTACAACAGTGTTAGAAATATATTGTGTAGCATGCTAAGCACATGTGACTGTACACTAATTGTGGTGTACAGTTGGGTTGGGACTACACCCAACATTGGGTGTAGTCTTGCACTTTGGAGTGCCAATCTACCCAAGTGTGGTGGAGCCCCCAAATGCAACCCTCTTGACTTTTGGGTACCTCACTTCCCAATTGAGGTCACCTCAAGCCAAGTGAGCCTAGGGTTGCCTCACTTCTACAAAGTGTGGGCAACCCAACCCACTTCACCTATGGTTGCCTCACTTCCCAAGTGAGGTCAACCCAACCTATGGTTAGGTTCATCCTTCCCCTCCAACCCTTCCTTCCAACTATGTATGCTAGGTTTCCCCTCTAATTCAATCACTTGTTCAATTTCCAACCTTCACATGGTATAGAGCTACTTGTTCCTAGGCCTTACCTCTCCCTCCTCCAAGTTTTTTCTTTCCCATGGGCCCACCCCACAGCCACAAGTCCCCTCTTACGTGTGGCTCAACCTAGCATACCCTCGCCGCGACCTACTCGTCGCCGCCGTTCCTCCCCTCGCCGTGATTGCGCCCTCCTCGCCGGCGCACCTCACCGCCGCGAGCGCATCTCCACTTCCCCCTTCTTCCGTCTGCGTCTCCCCCCCCCCTTTTGCCGCCGCGCCCGCTCTGGCGCCGCCTGCGCATCCCGCCGCCGTGACGCCTCGTCACCGCCCGCCCTTCCCACTACCGCGACCTCTCGTCGCCGTTTCCCCCTCCCGCCGCCGCGCCTGCCTCGGCGTCGCCTGCGCATCCCGCCGCCGCGACGCATCGTCGCCGCCGGCCCCTCCCGCTCCCGCGACGTCACGTCGCCGCCTCCCCCTCCCGCCGCCGCGACGCATCGTCGCCGCCTGCCCCTCCCCGCCGCCGCGACGCATCGTCGCCGCCTCCCCCTCCCGCCGCCGCGACGCATCGTCGCCGCCTGCCCCTCCCGCTCCCGCGACGACACGTCGTCGCCTCCCCCTCCCGCCGCCGCGCCTGCCTCGGTGCCGCCTGCGCATCCCGCCGCCGCGACGCATTGTCGCCGCCTGCCCCTCCCGCTCCCGCAACGACACGTCGTCGCCTCCCCCTCCCGCCGTCGCGCCTGCCTCGGCGCCGCCTGTGCATCCCGCCGCCTCGACACTTCGTCGTCGCCTGCCCGTCCCGCCGCCGCGACTTCGCGTCGCCGCCTGCACTCCCCTCCGCCGCAAACCAACGTCGCCGCCTGTGCATCCCGCCGTCGCGACCTGCTCGTCGCCGCTTGCGCATCCCGCCGCCGTGACCTCTTCGTCGCCGCCTGCACGTCCCGCCGCCGCGGCTTGCTCGTCACCGCCTGCACATCCCATCGCCGCGACATCGCGTCGCCGCCTGCGCACCCCGCCGCCGCGATTTCGTGTTGACGCCTGCGCATCCCGCCGCCGCGACCTCATCGTCTCCGCCTGCCCCACCCCCCCCCCCCCCCCCCCCCCCCTCCACCACGATTTCGCACCGTCGCTTCCCCGCCGCCTCTCCCCCACGCCGTCGCCCGCGCATCCCGAAGCCCCTCCTGCCCCGCCACCCGGCCGCAACGCCCGCCGCAGCGACTGCGCCTGTCGACCGCCCGCATCTCTGTCGTCGCACCCACATCGTCGCCGCCTGCACCTCCCGCCGCGGCGCCTACTCGTCCCCGCCTGCCCTCCCCACCCTCCCTGCACATTCCGCCGCCGCAGCATCCGCCCCAACGGTAGCAGCATCGGCCGTTGCAGCGACAGCCCCACCTGCAGCTGCATCTGCTATCTTCCTCCCCCTTCCCCTTCTCCCCTCCCTCTCCTCCTACTCAGCAGCAGCGGCAGTAGCGGCAGCAGCATCGGCGACAGCGGCAGCAGCGGCAGCAGCCGGAGAAGAGCTCCAGCCACCGCAGCAGCACCTCCCCCCCTTCCCCCCCCCCTCCCCCTCGGCCGCCGCGGGTCCACCCGCCGTCGCCCTCCCCCTTGACCGCCGCGGGTCCACCCGCCGCCGTCCCCCTCGAGGCCGCCGCGGGTCCACCCGCCGTCGCCTCTCATGGCTACCAATCCTCCCCCTCCCCCCCCCTCCCATGGACGCCACCTCCGTCGACAAGCTCCAGCTTGCCGCGGACCGCTCGGCGGTCAACTGGCATTCCTTCGTTGGGAGCATCCGCCCTGTTCTCCAGGACGCATTCGTCGGACCCTACTGCGTCCTCAACGTCCTCCTCTGCCGCCCGCAAGCTCTCCAGCCCACGGCACCCACTCACCCTGGTGAACCCCCTCCACCCCCCATTCCTCCTGGCCCTCCTCCTCCTGAACCTACCTTGGAGATTGCCACTACCCCAGAGCTCCAGGCTGCCGCCGATGCCACCTTTCTCCACGATCGCCGCGAGTACCTCATCCGCAAGGCGGAGCATGAGGTTGCGGTGCATCATCATGACTTCGCAGTAGCGGAACGTGCCAATCGCCTGGCGCTCCTTGATGAGTACAACGTGGCCATGGCAGACTACCTCCCCAGGAGCATTGCCTGGGCCACTGCTGACAACCACGCCTGCACCATCCTCCTCGGCGCACTCCCTGATACCCTCATGCGCCGCTTCCAAGCTCGCGAGATGCGCACCTCCCTCATCTGGGCCGAGCTCCAGGCAATGTTCGAGCGTCGCGACATCAGCTCTGTTGGCGCCCTCTTCCAGGAGTACTTGTCCATCACCCTCGCCACCTGTGATGGCGCAGTTGACTACGTGGGGCGCATGCAGGAGGTCGCTGATCGCCTTGCGGCACGCCAAGCTGCACTCCCCGAGCTACTGCAAATCCACCGCCTCCTCTACAACCTCACCCCGGACTACGAGTCCCGCCTCCATGCCTTCACTGAGGCAAACGCCTTGGCCGGCCTCAACGACGTGGTCCAGTGGATCATTGACACAGAGGTCAAGCTCCGCACCCCCATTGTCAACCTTACCACCCCTCAATCCTCCTCCTCCAGCTCCCTCAATGCTACGTAGCCGCGCAATCAGGGTGGTCGCAGCGGCGGCGGTAGAGGTCGTGGAGCGGGTGGCGGCGGTGGTGGTGGAGGTCGCGGTGGTGGTGGTGGTGGTGGTGGTGGTGGTGGTGGTGGTGGTGGTGGTGGTGGTGGTGGTGGTGGTGGTGGTGGTGGTGGTGGTGGTGGTGGTGGTGGTGGTGGTGGTGGTGGTGGTGGTGGTGGTGGTGGTGGTGGTGGCCGTGGTGGCCGAGGTGGTGGTGGTGGTAGTGCTGGCGGCACCTCTGCTGGAGGACCTTCCGGTGCTGGTGGTGCTGTGACCCGAGGCGGTCGCCCTGGCACTCTCCCCCCCTGCACGTATGTGCGCCGCCATGGTCCCCATGCTGGTACCCCTTGCGGCCAAACCAACCATCCCCCTACCCCGTGCTTTAAGGCGCTCGATGACGCCTGGTTTGATCGGGGCAACACCGGCACCCCTCCTCGCTGGAACACTGTCACCCCTCGCCCCTCCCTGGTGGATGTTCAAACCCTCACAGCTGCAGCAGTTTCAGCAGCACCAGCAGCAGCAACATCAGTACTTCCAGCAGCAGCAACATCAGTACTTCCAGCAGCAGCCGCAACAACAGCCGCAGTTTCTCCAGCCGCAGCAGCCGCCGCCGCCGCCGTCGCAGTTCTTCCAACCGCCGCCGCAGCAGCAGCAGCAGTTCCTTCCGCCACACTGGCAGCAGCAGCCGATGACCTTCGGCATAGCGGCTATGGCCGCCCATGCCTCCCTTGCTCCCCCCCCCTGGGGTTCCCTCCCCTCTGCCCCCCCCAGTGTCCCCGACACTTCGGGCAGTTTCCTTGGTAATGTCAGTGTTGCACCATCCATTGCTTCCATGTATCCCTCTGCTATCAATGAGACTTCTTTCCAGTACCCCATGCCACCTCCCCCTCCTTCCTCCCCCACCCTGGACTTCGTCCTTGATAGTGGGGCCACTGAAACCGCACTAAAGGACGCTGGAACTCTCACCCCCCTTCCACTTCCCACTCAGGTTCATGGCGCTGATTCCAGCTTTTCCATCCCATGCACTCATCTCTCCACCCTCCCCTGCACTGCCTTCCCCTCCGATAAGGTCACAGGTCTCCACATCCCCACTCTCCGCAACAACCTCCTCTCCCACTGTGAGCTCCAAGGTGTTGGTATTACTGCCATTTACCCCGGTTATGCCAATTACTGTGACCTCTACCAAACCTCCTCTGGACGCTTCCTTCTCCGCATTCCGCTTTGCCCCCGCACTCACCTCTACACACTCCGCACACCCTGCCCATCCTTCTGCCACATCACCACCCGTGCCGGTACTTCCACCGGTCCACCTCCCCCTCCTTTACTTCCCCCCTCCCCTCCCCCTCAGGCATCCTCCTCTCCCTCCCCACCATCCTCCTCCTCCCTTTCTGTCCCCTCTATCACCCCATCTCCCTCCTCCTCCACTACCCTCTCGCACCCTGCCGTCCTCTTACACCACAGACTCGGCCATCCCAACTTCACCGCACTTCGCACCACAGTCACCTCTCGCCTCCTCCGCAGTCTTCCTCCCGTCTTACCCCCCCTCCCCTCCTCCCCCTCTCCCCCATGCCCTTCATGCATCCACGGCAAGCTCAAACAGTCACCCCACCACAGTCATCCCACCTTCGCCGCCGCCCCCATTGACCTTGTGCACATGGATCTCTAGGGCCCCTACCCCATCCGCTCCCGCCAGGGGCATCGGTACATGCTCGTCCTCGTGGACGACCACAGCCGGTACTCCACCACCTTCTTTCTTCACACGAAAGACCAGGTGCCGGCAGTGGTCATCAACTGGGCCGAGCTGTGCCGCAATCACTTCAAACGCCCCATTGGCCGCCTTCATTCTGACGGTGGGGGTGAGTTCATCAATAACACCCTCGCCACATACTGCAAAACCCACGGCATCCAACAGACCTTCACTCTTCCCCACTCCCCTCAGCAGAACGGCATTGCTGAGAGCCGCATTCGTGAGATCACCAAGATAGCTCGCTGTCTCATTGCTCATGCCTCCACTCCTCCTTCCCTCTGGAGCTATGCCCTCCTCCACGCCGCCCTTCTCCTTAATCTCCGCTCCCACCCTCAGCATCCCTCCTCCTCCCCTACAGAGCTTTGGTCCAACGCCAAACCTGACGCTGCCGGCCTTCGCGTTTGGGGCTGCAAGGCCTTTGTTCTCATTCCCCCCGCCGACCCCTCCCGCGCCGCTAGCAAGCTTGCTCCCCGCGCCCTGGAATGCGTTTACCTTGGACACAACCGCGACTCCCCACGCTACCTCTTCCTCCACCCTCCCACCAATCGCCTTATCCGCAGCAGCGACGTTGTCTTCGACGAATCCGTTCCCTACTACTCCACTCCTCCCCCTGATCCTCTCCCTCCTCCCACTCGCCCCCTCGCCTGGACCGATACCGTCCTCCCGCCTCTCCTCCCTCCCGCGCCTCTCCTCCCACCAGTTGCTGCTCCTCTCCTGCCTCCCTCCTCTGCCGACGTCTACGACCCCGCCGCACCCGCCTCCGCCGCCCACTCAGCTGCACCCCCTCCTTCCCCTCCCTCTTCCTCTCATTCACCCCCTTTGCCGCAATAGCAGCAGCAGCGGCCGGGGCAGCAGCAGCAGCAGCCGGGCCAGCAGCAGTAGCAGCCGGGGCAGCAGCAGCAACAGCAGCAGCAGCCGGGGCAGCAGCAGCAGCAGCAGCAGCAGCAGCAGCAGCAGCCGGGGCAGCAGCAGCAACAGCAGCAGCAGCCGGGGCAGCAGCAGCAGCCGAGGCAGCAGCAGCAGCAGCAGCAGCCGGGACACCAGCAGCAGCAGCAGCAGCAGCAGCCGGGGCAGCAGCTGCAGCAGCGGGGGCAGCACCTGCAGCAGCAGCACCAGCAGCAGCGCGCCACATCCCGCTCCTCCCCCTTTCTCCTCCCTCGCATGCACACTCGCTCCCTCGATGGCATCCTTGGTGCCCCTCCTCCTGCCTCCCTTCAGCTTCTTGAGGACTCTCACGAGGAGTTCCTTACCATTCAGCAGCACACTCCTTTCCTTGCTACCCTTTTCCTTGACTTCCTCGGCTTCCCCATCCTTGACGCCACCTCCACCCCCACCATCTTCACTCCCTCCACCTTCCAAGAGGCCATCACATGCCCTGACGCGGACAAGTGGATAGCGGCAATCTTCCAGGAGTGCGAGGCGTTTATCCGCAACGACTCCTTCGTTGACGCCCCCCTTCCCGCCAATGCCAATCTTGTCGAGGGCAAGTGGGTCTTTCGGGTGAAGCAGCTGCCGGACGAGGAACCAGTCTGCAAGGCCCGCTACTGCGCCAAGGGCTTCACATAGACACACGGGGAGGATTTCTGGGCCACCTACGCCCCCACCGCCAAACCCCCCACCCTTCGCGCAGCCCTCGACATTGGTGCGCGTGATAACATGGAGATCGATTCCATGGACGTCTCCAATGCGTTCCTGCAGGGCGACCTGCACGAGCGCATTTTCCTCAGGCGACCACACGGGTTCCACGCAGCCTTCCCTGAGAATACTGTCTGGCAGCTGCGTTGCCCTGTCTACGGCTTGAAGCAGGCACCGCGCGAGTGGCATGCGAAGCTGGCTGCCACCTTAGGGTCTCTCGGCTTCCCTGCTTCCCACTCCGACGCCAGCCTCTTCATCCGCTCCTCCCCCCGCCGCTTCTTCATTCTGGTGTATGTGGACGACATGATCCTGCTCTCTGACACCAAGGCCGACATGGAGCAGATGAAGCAGTCCCTGCAGCAGCGTCTCAAGTGCAAAGACCTTGGCGCCCTCACCCACTACCTGGGCATGGCCATCACTCGTGACCGCCCTGCTCGCACCATCACCCTCTCCCAGTCCCACTACATCGGCCAGGTCTTGGAGAAGTTCGACATGGCGCAGGCCAAGCCCGTCTCCACCCCCCTCCCTTTCGGCCACCAACTCGCTCCACCCACCTCTCCCACCTCCTCCCCTCACCCCTATGCCGAGCTCGTTGGGTCCTTGATGTACGCAATGATGTGCACCCGCCCCGACCTCGCCTACCCCATCAGCGTGCTCGCTCGCTTCGTTGGCACTGGTCGCCACACTGAGGAGCACTGGAAAGCTGCCAAGCGAGTCCTCCGCTACCTTCGAGGGACCAAGGACCTTGCCCTCACCCTTGGCGGCCCTTCCCCTCCTCTTCTCTCGGGATTCGGTGACTCCTCTTGGGCTGACACGCAGCCGGACCGCCGCTCCTCCCAGGGCTACGGCTTCACCCTTGGCAGCGGCCTCATCAGCTGGCGCTCCACCCGCTCCTCCGCCATCTCTCTCTCCACCTGCGAGGCCGAGCTCTACGCCGGCACCATGGCCACTCAGGAGTCCCGCTGGCTCTGCTTCCTTCTTGCGGAGCTTGGCGCTCCCCAGACGTGCCCCACTCTCTGGTGCGACAATGCCAGCACCATCCATCTCACTGAGGACCCTGTCTACCATGCCCGCTCCAAGCACATCGAGCTTCGCTACTTTTTCATTCGCGACCTTGTCCAGAAGGGCCTTATTGCCGTTCGCAAGATTGCGACCGAGGCCAACTTGGCCGACATCTTCACCAAGGCCCTCCTTCGCCCCGCGCACTCCGCTTTCCTCCGCCTCATTGGTCTCGCTCGCCCGGGCGCCCCTTGATTCAGAGGTTGTTCTCTTCTTGTGTTAGCATGCTAAAGGCTTGTGTTAGAAATATATTGTGTAGCATGCTAAGCACATGTGACTGTACACCAATTGTGGTATACAGTTGGGTTGGGACTACACCCAACATTGGGTGTAGTCTTGCACTTTGGAGTGCCAATCCACCCAATTGTGGTGGAGCCCCCAAATGCAACCCTCTTGATTTTTGGGTACCTCACTTCCCAATTGAGGTCACCTCAAGCCAAGTGGGCCTAAGGTTGCCTCACTTCTACAAAGTGTGGGCAACCCAACCCACTTCACCTATGGTTGCCTCACTTCCCAAGTGAGGTCAACCCAACCTATGGTTAGGTTCATCCTTCCCCTCCAACCCTTCCTTCCAACTATGTATGCTAGGTTTCCCCTCTAATTCAATCACTTGTTCAATTTCCAATCTTCACAAACAGCACATACTACAACAGCACATACTACAACAGCACATACTACAACTGCACACACTACAACAGCACACACTACAACATCACACACTACAACAGCACACACTACAACATCACACACTACAACAGCACACACTACAACAGCACACACTACAACAGCACACACTACAACAGCACACACTACAACAGCACACACTACAACGGCACACACTACAACTGCACACACTACAACTGCACACACTACAACTGCACACACTACAACTGGACACACTACAACTGCACACACTACAACTGCACATACTACAACTGCACATACTACAACTGCACATACTACAACTGCACATACTACAACTGCACATACTACAACTGCACATACTACAACTGCACATACTACAACAGCACATACTACAACTGCACATACTACAACAGAACATACTACAACAGCACATACTACAACAGCACATACTACAACAGCACACACTATAACTGCACACACTATAACTGCACACACTACAACTGCACACACTAGAACTGCACATATTACAACAGCACATACTACAACAGCACATATTACAACAGCACACACTACAACAGCACACACTACAACAGCACATACTACAACAGCACACACTACAACAGCACACACTACAACAGCACACACTACAACAGCACACACTACAACAGCACACACTACAACAGCACACACTACAACAGCACACACTACAACAACACAC